GGCTGTCAATCATTTTGGGCTATGCTTTGCTCCATCGAAATGCAAAGTACTTCTCCAAGATTGGCAGGGACCCAACCCTGCGCTAACGCTTGGTGGTGATCTGCTAGAAGTTGTTCAGGAGTTTAAGTACCTGGGCAGCTATATTAGCACCCGTGGGATTGAAGATGAGGTTACGAAGCGTATAGCAAAAGCACGAGGTGCTTTTGCCAATCTCCGCCACCTGTGGCGCAGACGCGACATTACTCTCGCCCTGAAGGGCAGAGTTTGCAACGCAGCCGTCCGTTCAACTCTCCTATATGGCTGTGAAACCTGGCCCATCAGGTCGACAGACATGAAGAGGCTCGTCACATTCGATCATCGCTGCCTGCGCAGCTTAGCTCATGTCTGGTGGGAACACCGCGTGAGCAATGAGCGTGTTCGGCGTCGCGTATTTGGTGCAGGAAGAGCGAGTGAACCGCTCAGCACCATCATATCACTCACCAGGCCCCGATGGCTGGGCCACGTGTTGCGCATGCCAGCACACCGACTCCCGCGAAGTGCATTGTTTGCGCGTTGTGGGTTGGAAGAGGAGGAGGGGAGGCCAAGTGATGACTTGGTCGAGAGGAATGAAAACCCTCACTTCGAAGTTGGCGTCGGTTGGTGCATCCCGACTGCCTGGCTGGGGTCCTAAGGATGGTGAACACGTTTGGTTGGACACACTCGCTGATATGGCTTGGAGCCGGCCCCAATGGCGTTTGTGTTGTGAGTTCCTTTATCCATCCCCTCCTGCTTAGCATCCCCCTCCAATCATGATCTCACCTGATAGGTATAATATGACTTTTCCGGCAGCCAGCTGTTAACTCTCCGGAATGATGTCCATCCGTTACTGGGGACTCAGCGGGCGTGCCACCGTTTGTTTTCCTTTTCTTATCTTTTGTATTGCGGCACAATAGCTGAGGTGTTTTCCACCTCCAGCTAACGTGTTATGATGATGATGACGTTAAAGTCTCCAGCGATAAGAATGTGAGTGTAGGACTTGTTCAAAGCAAACTGAGAAACGTGGTTCAGTTTGGAGTCCATTTGCGACGTTGAGTTTGGTGGGCGATAAAGCATGGCTAGTCGACATGTGCCCTTGTTTCGCAACCAAATGCGGCACCAAAGCGAATCGGGAGCTCGGGTTTCCGGGTGATCGATAACTTCACATCGGAGGTTTGTATTATAATGAACAATGAACAATGAATTTGTACGGGTTAAGAAGCGTTGCTTTACAAGTCCCGTTGGATGGTTGCAGGGGATATCAACCTAACAATAATGATGATAAGGATAGTAAAATAGTTAATACTTTAAATACGAAAATAAGGACTTATCGTTTGCTTCGCTGCAGTCCTGCGATCCTCTTAGATTCACAGCATCCACATTTAACAACAAATAATTCCATGGTGAACTCCAGGTGTAGGATGGAGACATAGTGTTAAGTAACAAAGTGTAAGTGGCTGAGTGCATCGTCCAACCGTCTTTTAAATACTGTTAGTGTCGGTGCAGAGACGACCGATTCTGGGGGAGCATTCCACGGGTGACAGACACGGATGGAAAAGAAATTTCTGTGGCACTCCAGACGACAGTATTCTTCTGCGAGTTTTAATGAGTGGACCCTCAGGTTTGTATTGCTGCTGTGTTGCAGTAAAGGGCGGCACACATGATGTGGGTCTGGCAGAATCAAGTATACCATAATCAGGTCGCCTCGTAGTCTGCGATAGCTTCCACTGAACAATCCCAGTCGTCGCAGCCTCTCCTGGTAGGAAAGATTGCGCATTCCAATTACGTTCTTAGATGCCCGGCGTTGTGGCTGCTCCAGTGCATTAAGGTCGTGTTTCAGCCATGGATGCCAGGCTTGAATTGCATATTCGACATGGGGGCGAACATACGCACTGAGCATTTGTTGAAATATGGAGCTGTTTATTTGTCCAAACGCCCGCCTCAACAGCCCGACGTGTTGGTTCCCGGTCTTCGAGGCCTTTTCGGATTGCCTGGAGCAACCCAAGTCATCTTGAACCAGGACACGCAAGTCATGTTTGAGAGTTGATTGCTGCAGTACATCCGTTCCGAGTCGGTATGAGTAGCTGCTCTGATGTCGGATGGAAAGCATCTTGTATTTACTGACGTTGAAATGTAATAAGTTTTGGGTCGACCATTGATACACTGTATCTAAATCACTCTGAAGCACATGTTGGTCGGTGTTCGCCTGGATTCTGCGCCAGATCTTGATATCGTCGGCAAACATTAGGAAGTTTGAAGCGATTCCCTGTGCAAGGTCATTAATAAACACCAAAACCAAACGTGGACCTAGAACCGAGCCTTGCGGCAAACCACACTCCAATTCCATGGGGTCCGATAAAGAGCTCCGAACTCTGACCACTAATTGCCGTTGAAATAGAAAGTTGGCGATCCAGCTTAAAAGAGGGTTTTCGATCCCTTAAAGAAGCACACTGCCACCCCTTCCGTTGCTATCCGTCCGAAGCAGCGACTTGTCGGGTAAATTTATCTCAGAATCGGTTATCTCAGCGTTTAACCATGTCACTGTAATCATGACGAGGTCCCGCGGTTGTGAGGTATGGAGTTCTCTAAGTTCGGTCAACTTGCTTAGAAGGCCTTGGGCGTTTGTGTACATGCAAGATAGGGCTTTTATTGTTAGGGTTTCTTTGATAGATGTCAACTTTGTATTAGTGTTTAAGCCGGCCGTTAGGTAGCCGGCCATTAATCGTTTTATGGTTTATGTATTTCAGTCATGTTGCATGACATTATTTAGCTTTCCTGAACATTCGTTTCACTCGTGCTGTGCTCGATCCTCTTGTGTGCCATGGGCTCTGTTGTGTCGGTCTCTCCAGTGGAGCGCGACACAGCGCAGGGTTTTGTACTTGGACCTGGCTTGTTCTTAATTTTCATTAACGATCTAGTGAGAGCTTACGTCTGAAAATTTCTACTTGCCACAGATGATGTTAAAATTTTGCCGGCGATCATGGGAATGAACGACCACGAGATCCTCCAGCGCGACCTCCATGAGGTCTGGCATTGGTCGTAAGAAATGCATCGCCATTCAATGTGCACAAGTGCCACATTGTCCACATGCGCCATAGACATGCCTATCTCTACAAGCTTGGGGTGCACGATCTGCAACCAAGCCCTCATGAAGGGGACCTCGAAGTGCTGGTACAGGAGGACCTCGGTTGTTCTAGACAATCGGCATCCGCTTCAAAAGTGATAACCAGCATGTTGGTCTCTTGCAGAGGGCTTTCGGGACTTTGGATTCAACCATTTTCTCTCTGATGCTCATCGCTTACGTGCGTTCCCGCGTCGAATACCCAAGCCAGGCTTGGCATCCTTGGCTAAAGCGTGTTACCTTGCGGCGCGCAAAAACCCTAACATCGACTAACAAATTTGTCAATTGTTTGCATAACCTACCCTACCAGCAACAACTGAAGACTCTCGGAGTGTTCAGTGAACGCTACAGGCGGCTACTTGGAGACCCTATAGTCGTCTACCAGGTACTGGGAGTCCCCACTAACGTATGCCGCCAGCTACTGAAACGGTCAGAACACCATTCTCAGAGACAATGGCCTGAAAGTTAGTCAATAACACAGTCGTCTCGATTGTCGACGAAATTGCTTTTCTCCGCTGGTCAGCCAACCCTAGAACGCCTTTCCAAAAGCACGTCTCTGTGCCCCTATATTAGCTGTTTCCAAAAAAGCGATTGGAGATTGCATTAAGCTCCTTACACTTTGTTACGTGAACGGATATTCTGGATATATTCATACTAACTAGCCTCATTGTAGTTATGACCCACATTGGAACACATAAAACTGCAGAGGAGTGAACAAGCTGCTTGTTATTTACAATGAGTCTTGAGCATAACAACTTGTTATTTCTTTTTCCCTCAACCCTCCTATAAACTATCACTCTACAGCTCCAACGATGCATGTTTTATTTAGTCCAATTTCGTTGTATTTTAATTTCACTTTCTATAGTACCAACTTATGGGACATGTTAAGCCCGTGATGTTTTACCCTTTATAAACCATTGTTCCATTGTTACTGCATGTCATCGCACTAGGATACGCTTGTGAAGTCAGCGGAAATGACGTAATCACGAAGGGTACAGAATTGAGGTGAACAAAATGTGCGAAATCCGTGCTACACAGCCGTGCTTATTAAGGCCAATATGTGGTAGATTTGACGTGATACTTAGGCAATAAACGGACGCAGCACAGCTACGGTATGGCACTAAATCAGTACTTAGTCATATTAGAGTGAAGCTGTACCCGAGCAATTTGACTTAGCTATAAAATGACGAGGACGCAACATTGCGCACTGCGTATCACCGCGCTAACGCTACCGCTTCGCATGGCAGCGAAACGGATGCAACCAGATCACCAAAACCGGAGAACAAATGACCAACTTAATACAGTTGGCGACTTTGTTTCGAATAGCAAGGGAATAGGTGTATTTAATTAGATCTTTGTAAACAAGACCATTGATTTTCATACGCTCAGCTAAGTTCAATTCCTCGGACGATGCACGGTAAACATAGTTAAAGTCACTCTAAGGACCAGCATGTGAAATAGAAGAGGGAACATCACATCTTCATGTTGCTCGCTAGTCAATTACTTACCGGAACTCTCCACTTTCTGCGGAACTTCCGGAGCCAATGACCTTGGGATGCATGCAAATTCTCCATCGAAACGAGGCAGAATTGCTTTGGGTTACTGTAGTAAGCAAAATGTCTGGTGGCTTCGCTAATAGAAACTGTGGTAAGCAAACTTAAGTTAGTGTAGCCCAAATGAGGGGATGAAGCATGGTGCGTGCAACATCAAACCTCAGCATAAGACATAAAACAAATATACTTGCTTTTTTGTTGCTCCTCTAACAACCTTTCTCGACGGCGGCAACAGCAAATCTTATCCACTGCGCTGTATTTTTCCACCACTGACGGATAGTTTTCGTACTGTTCGACTTCTTCTTTTGCAGGCACCTCGCAGAAACCACAAGCCAGTGATCAGGATTATCAAGCAAGAGTCGTGGACTTTTTCCAAAAGACGAAATTCGTCTGTATTCTCTTGTCACGCATATCGGATTACGTGAAAGAACCGCAAGCACCAGTTCTGATTCGAAATGTTTTTTCTCTACTCAGGTAAACAGATCTTACACTTTAGAGCACTACGTAGCTACAAACTTCCTACTTCGCTTTGGTTGTCATATGTGAAAAATCCCTGATAACTTGTACGAAATTAAAACAGGTCAGGTTTAAATTAACATCCCAAACAAGGCCTTGGTAATGAAAAACGTTTTGCTTGAATCCAGTACCCGGGTACATTGCAATATTTAAAGCAGTTAGTTCCGTTCAGAAATTTGAAAAGCACGGTAAGAAAACGAAAACTGGTAGATGCATGCATTTCGTATTGTCTCCTCGGTACCATTAACAATAACCGGTATGCAATTATATACTTAAATATGCGTGTGACCGAATAAACAGGAGGTGAAAATGAATGACGGAAGTTCCACCCCTATGTCCACGGCAGTCTTAAGTTGATAAATAATTGCTTTTGAACACACAGGGCCGGCTTCATTCGGCTTATCGCAACGGCCTCGGCGAAACGAAGGAAGCGGGGATTAGGGTGAGGTAATACAAGTGTGGACGCTGATCCGAGCTCTATCCGGTGATGCGTAGTCAGGAGGTGTTTACCTATTGAGGAAGCTGGCGGCTTGCGCAAGCACGGAACTTCAGTGGGACAGGGATGCTGGTCAATTCCACGTTGAACCCACCTTGGCACATGTTCCTTTATTCGGGAAGTCAAAGACCGATTGGTTCTGCCTATGTAACTGTCTCCGCAGTCGCATACAAATTTGTATATGCCACTAGTGGCAAATGATTATCCACGTAGATTTATAGAGAGACACAGCCAACAGCGAGACCCGAAAGACTTGGTGCATACGGCAGCCAAGAAAAAGATCTATATCGAGTTGTCATTCAAGAGTGACTTTACTGGATTGAAAACCACGAAACGTCTAATCTCTGCTACGCAGGGTAGTTACTGTGCCGCTCAGGTTGTGGTCATCAATAGAACATGTAACTTGCCGGTGCCTCCAACGAAAGAAGCTCAACCGATAGGGGCCAACTCACACTGCATATACAAATTTGTATGCGACTGCGGAGACAGTTACATAGGCAGAACCAATCGGTCTTTGACTTCCCGAATAAAGGAACATGTGCCAAGGTGGGTTCAACGTGGAATTGACCAGCATCCCTGTCCCACTGATGTTCCGTGCTTGCGCAAGCCGCCAGCTTCCTCAATAGGTAAACACCTCCTGACTACGCATCACCGGATAGAGCTCGGATCAGCGTCCACACTTGTATTACCTCACCCTAATCCCCGCTTCCTTCGTTTCGCCGAGGCCGTTGCGATAAGCCGGATGAAGCCGGCCCTGTGTGTTCAAAAGCAATTATTTATCAACTTAAGACTGCCGTGGACATTGGGGTGGAACTTCCGTCATTCATTTTCACCTCCTGTTTATTCGGTCACACGCATATTTAAGTATATAATTGCATACCGGTTATTGTTAATGGTACCGAGGAGACAATACGAAATGCATGCATCTACCAGTTTTCGTCTTCTTACCGTACATTGCAATAGTCTAGCGGAGCAAAGTATATAGTTCGAAATGTTCGTTGCACAGTCGCAAAGAAGTAGTACATCGAGACACTGTAGCTGGTGTTCTCCTTAGTATATCGTCTTTTTCGCAGAACTCACCTTCTCATATATCGGATAGTAACTGAAAGCGGGCACCCATGTACATCACTGCTGACCCTAGCCCCTTACAGACAATGCCGCGGCAAGCGCCTAAGACTAATGAAGCAACGCTCCCGTTTGAATTGTAAGCAGTACTTTTACTCACTTAGTATCTGTTCCCACTTGAATACACTACCAACACACGTGGTGACGGCACCAGACATCACGAGGTTCGAAAGACCCTTAGACTTTCAGCTTAGTGATAACAACAGTTTGATAAAGTGGAATACCTTATGCACGGATACTTCACGCTTCAGGTTGGAACATTTTAGTTCTAATTTTCTTTTGCATATCCATCCTGTGGGTCTTGTAAATTTATGCTTTTTATCCCATCATACACTATTGAACTACTGAACTAGTGAACTTGTGTTGGCTTGTCTTCACCTTCCATTCCCACCTTCAAGCAGCAAATCGCTCCTGTTGTTTCATATCCTCGCTAAGCAGGAACCAAACCAATTTGTTGCATCTGAATATTTTAGGGAGGGTTACCGGCTGTGTAGTGAATCGAATACATCTGGACGCAATCCCGCTCACATGGTTCATCAGCCCCGTCTACCGCGTGAGACACTGAATTTTTTGAACACCCATCTGACGGCAGCGCAGCGATCTTTGCTGACGGAGCTCGGTTCGGCCTGGACGACTCCTAGGTATGTGACACCGTAATCGTTGCTTATTTTGTTTGATATGCAAGCTAGCGTTTCTTTATTTTTGTCAATCGGGTGTCAGTTATATTTTATGTGTCACGGATGCAGTTTGTTTTAACTCATTATATTTTCCGTAAAATACGGAATAGCTTGTTGTAACTACAGATCGGTTAACATAGCTCCACCTACATGTTTAGGTATCATAAGTGTGCGTTCTTAACATTAACTAATCAGTAGACTGATGTGGCTAATTACCCCAGGTTTGGCAACGATTATGAACCAAGACACAGTGCAGTTTGGGCTTTTTTTGTTTGACTGTGAAGCCGTGCTTCTCGAGGCGAACTACTTAGTTTGAAACAGCTGTATAGCTGTACATAACCGACTAATCCCGTATCAAGCCTAAAACTGAAAATATGTTTCATCCAAGCTTTTCAAAGGCCATAAAACCAAGATATTTCTGGTTAGGTTCAGTTGTTGAATAGAACTCATTTTATAGTACTCATAAGTAGCAGGATTTTAGTTGTAAATTTTGATAAGGCTTTCATCCCAACAGTTCACAAGCTACATAGCAGAGCCTAGTCCGGAAAAGCGCCAGACGCGTTTCGCCCTATTGGGGCTCGTCAGTGGCGCGCATTCCCTCGGTCCTCTAATGAGGATCGAACCCATGACTGCTAGAGGCCGATGCCAACTAGCCAGCAGCTTAAGCCACTGAGCCATGGGGGACGTCGGCTGGGCTACATAGTTTGCAAACTAGCTGGGATATAGCACCACCTATCTACCACTGTCACGGACAGTGGTTAGCCTGCAAGGTAATGACGTCCTCTCACTAGACGCTATACCTATAGCATTTTGCCTCAAATAAGGCGTTCGCTTACAAAGTTTAGTCACTGGGAGCAATTGTACACAGACGCGTAGCATAGGTTGCGGAGGGCGCGGCCCACCCCGGTCAGCATGTGACAGAAGGCCTCGCTTTTAGTACCGTTTAATGTTCGATACTAAATAGAAAGGGCGAAAGATCCTGTTAAACTAAGGGCTGAATGTCTTAATGTTACTCTGTAGACTCAACAACATGCTGACGCCAAGTGTCCCACCTGTGCAAATGTCCTTCCCGGCGATTCCCTTACTTATCCCACAGTCGTCACTTTCGCCACATCTACCTCAGTGTCCCAACCGATAATCCAGTTTCAGAGATTGTTCATCAAGCTCCACTCTCAATCAGCTGGCTTCGGCAAGTCTGGAAAAGCACCAGACAGTGCTTTTTCGACCTTCTGAGTCTCGTCCGTCCAGTTTATCGAACAATAAAAAGAGCTTTTTTCAAAGCAGATTTTGTGGACTTCACACGCTCATTCTGCCCTCAGTCGGAGCAAAAATTTTGCCAGCTCCCCGGGCTGCAATGGTAGTTGCTACGCCACGGAGTGCGAATACAAATCCAGCTGCTGGTAGCCGCGCAATTAGTTGTTAAGATGTGGGAGAATGATGACATCAGTGCGAGTTGCTAAAGGTGGTCCCACAGAGATGCTTGATATTTTTTTATTTTTTTGATTTTGGAAGTTTATGGTACAATGACGCCCGATCCTTCAGAGAGTTCCTTGCATTGAGAAACGGAAGTATATCTGCCCTTATTGTACGCTTTATCTGCGAACTCCATATGTTGCACCAACGACTTATCATTGCCTCACAGTAAGGCGAACTACTATTCAAGAATAGGACTCTGACAACGCGTACCACATTGAGAACAGAGCTAAAATATTTACAAAATGCAAGTTCTCTCTTCCCCTAAAAACCGGTAGCCACCAGACAGGAACACTACGACCGGTCTATAACCCTACACATTTGGCCGGATGACACTTTCTCGAGATAATGTCATAGTTTTCAGTTACCCTGTGACATTCAATTGCAGAGAGGAAACGAATGACCAGGAAGTTTACATACCCACATTTCGAAAAAACTTCAAAGTGAACGTCGAAGACTATGAACCATCACTATTCCGCTACAAAGAACTCGGTGCGGATTACAACCCAGAGGTACGTAGCCTTCTTGTGTCACTCCAAACGAATATTTAATGCACTCATATCACTCATAACTTATTTTTGATAACTCCATTGGATAGCATTCGAGATACAGATTCAAGATATCTGAGTATTTACACTTACCAAAAGGCCATACCTCCGGCGCACAAATATGATCATAAGTGCAGTACCCCATAGTTACGCAGTGTTTACCGTCACTTTGCGCTGACTGATGAACAATGAACAATGAGTTATCAAGGGTAAAAATCGATGCCTGACAAGTGCCGTAGGGTGATTATAAGGAGAACAACTAGACCAATGGATAGGTGAATCATCGGTTTAGTTGAATACCGTTTTAACAACATTGTATGGTGGCACTTTGAAACGAGAATTGCATGTGCGCACGCAATGCAATATGGGAATCCGTTCTATTTCACGTAATGTGAGAGAAAAAAAGCAAATAACCAGAGAAAATAACAACACACACCCGTGTGCCAGTTTCTTGGGCCGACAGTTTACTTAAATCGGGTAGCAGCGTTTAATAAATTATGCGAGGAAAGTGAAAATGCACACGGCCGTTTTTCATACTACGTTCACACACGGATATAGCGGATTATATATCGTAGTGTAACTGCATGAGTTCATCGTGTAGACGTATTTTGAATACCGCTAGTTTGAGGGAATAAACAACGTAAATGCAGAGGAGGTTTCATTGTTGTCACACGCGAAGTGAAGAGAAATTCCGGTGAAAATCTAACCGCCTATACTTTGTGGTCGGCGTTAGCTGGAGACCTTTCCGAGTAGTAATGGGATTCATCTTCAGAAAATGATTGTACACATGGATTGAACTCCTCAACATTAAATATGCCTTAATCAAGTCGCCATGCAGGTGTTAATAGTGTCCACTGCATACCCCAAGGTTTTTCATCCTCCGTCTGTAAGGAGGATGAGAAAGCTCTTTTATCTTCTTGGTCGCCCTTCGTTGTGGTAGTTCACTTGCGGTGATGTCGCACTTGTGCCATATCTTTCACGCGTGAATGGTTTATTCCGTGAGAAGATTGAAGGGTCAAAATGCCCAAACGCTTTCCGTAAAAGACCAAGATGATGGTTAGCTTTTTTGGATCCCTTCTCGGTGTGACATGAGCAGCCATGATCCTAGATCGCATTCAGTAGTAGCAGGTTGCAACGCTTGGTCCTCCACCCTGTACTCGCAAGTGGGTTGATGGTGTATGCTCTATGAGTTGCACTGGCTGGCGTTGAAATGAAGCAGCTTCTGAATCGGTCATTCGTATACCCTGTCGAGGTCATCCTAAAGCACTACGCAGGCATTCGTTCTTTTGATGGCCCGCCATATGTTAAGATCTCCCATCCACATGCCTCCCGGTCTTATTCCTTCGGGTTTACACTGGATTTGGTGTGTGTGGATGGAGCTGTGGGTGGTGCAGCGCAAGCCACCCATGGTCCCTCTGTAGGCGCAGGCGTCCTGTGGTTGGCCACAGTGACAGGCAAATCCGAAACCGGATGCCGCCAACCATATGTTAAGATCATCAGAGCAGAATGAGAAATTGAAGTAGTCACACTTGAAATGCAGTAGGCGTGAACCAACTACTTAGCCATCTCGCACTCCGCACTGCATATCGATAGGGTTAGAGATTGAGCTGCGAAGTCTCACGTTCAGATATCGTTGAATCAGAAAATTACCTACGCCCCTGAGAATTGGGTTACCAATTCCACAACTCTAAAGTTTGCGAAAGAGGATGCGGTGCTTCAGACGGTGAATGCCTTTGAGAATTATAGATAGACTGTGTCCTCTCCTACATCGCTGCCAACGATTCCAATCAAACTGGAGCAAACATGCAGCAGGTTTGTGGTGCAATACCAGTTCTGGCGAAATCCAAGCTGTTCTGGTGTTAGGATATTGCATGTCAGCATGTAATTCATGAACGCCTCGGCAATCATGGACTCCATGACTTTGAATAGCACCGGCAGGAGATTTATGTGACGATAATTGGCTGAATCTGCACAATTTCCTCCTTTGTGAATAGGAGTGACGAGTCCGTGGTTCCACAGTGTGGGAACACATCCAGTGGAGGCATTGATGAAATAGCCTAGAGATTGGATCCACAAAGTCAGTACGGCCAACTTCAGCGCCTCTGGTCAGATATTATCAGCATCAGTAGAGGTATGGTGGGGTAGGGAATTTATCCTTTTCAGAGCCTCTGTAGACGTAGACGAGATAAGACTAATTCAGAAGTAATACATGAAAACCCACTCTCAGTCCGCATGCTTTCGCAAGTCTGGGAAAGCACCAGACTGCGCTGTTTCGAGCTTCCGGGTCCCAGCTAGTGGGACTAAATGGAGTCAGCTGCACTGTTCGTAAGTGGCATGGTAGTGGAAGATGAGCCGGGCTGCATAGTCAATTGTCAATCACGCAGGTGCGCGGCTGTCACTCATGGCGAAGTGGCACTAGCTGCTGACATCTGGCAGTCACGGGGTCAGAAGCCGGCATTGGTCTGATGGAAGGCGCACCACTGACGAGGCCCAGAAGTTCAAACGGCGTTGTCTGGTACTTTCCAGACTTGCCAAAGCCTGCTGACTGAGAGTGGACCGTGACGAATTATCGCAGATGTATACCAAACGCCCCACTGCTCATTAGTTATATAGTGTAGCGAAAACGACACGGTAGGGGAGAACGCTGTTTATTGCACGCTGAGAGGTTCACACACATGTCCCACGCACACACAAATATAGCCGCGTTTCCCACTAACGACGCACTACGTTCCGCCGAGTGAAGCGATGTCCACTAAGCGCCATTAGGCTGATCCGACGTGGACATTGAATGTGCCGTTTTCCGCCCACATTTCTGATCCCTTGCGTCGCAGTCTATCCAGACTGCATTCGTACAAAAGCTCTCGACTTGCTTGCTTGGGAGCTGTGTTGCTCTGGTCGGGCCGATTCCTGGGGTAGTAGATAAAGGCATATCTCTTGGGAAACTCGGGCTCCCTTTTATGTCACCTCTTGTTCTTCTCGGCGTGGCCGCGGTATCATTTGTCGCTGACGACCCATTCCCGGCTTGCATCGTAGGCCACGAGCTGGGTTGACGATTCCCGTTCCCATTCTCCGCGTTAGTCCCGGTCTCCTGCTGCTTCCCGGGCATTTCCGTGTGAACTGAGATCCGCGCCCCTACAATAGGACTAAGTCTTGGTCATGGTACTGCTTGCGTGTACAGCATAGGTGATGTAGCCGTGTCCTGGATGTTTGGGGAGAACTGAGGACATGGGACGTTGGCCGCTTCTGTTGTAGTTTGTGCATCTCCACCTGGCCTGCGGAGTGCAGTGATACCTCACTGAAATTTACGGAGTTGGTTAACATGTATGTAAAGGAGCTTGGGGTTTAAGGAGAATTTGCCAGCAAGATCCTCTTGATGTTTTAACTTATCCTTGCAAACCAGGTTCACGCAGTGTTTTCGCTGAATAGTGTAGGCTTCCACGTTTTGACATCCGGTGACTCCTAGTATTTTCGCCAGGATGAATCTCTTGTGATCATACACTTTCGCTTCCTGCTGAGTATGAAATACTTTTACTCTCATCCCACGCGGAGGCATGTTTCTCGAAGCACTGGCTACTAACTTGTTGAATTGATGAGTAAAATCTCACCAGGCGATATCGGGAGATCGTTTAACTAGAAAGGTCCAGTCGGTTGCATTAATGGGTGTGTTCCGAACAGCGTAACCTGTACTAGGCTAAGTGTCTTCGGCGATGGTTGCGGGATAATCTGCATAACAGATGTACTTGACGAAAGTGCATGGTCGCTGCAGCTCTAGGGGCTAGTGATCCATATTGTTTCGATCATAAGTTTTTTTTAAGTCTACATGAGATTGCAGATACCTGGTTGCTTCACTGTCATGAATCTTGTGGGGGACGCAAAGTGGTAATATAGCGGTAATCCAAAGGTTAGCCTCTGCAATTCCATTTTGAATTTATCGTCGAGACAAACTGAGGTTTCTGATACATGAGAATTGAATTCACTAACCAGAGGGATGTGGCTCTGTCTGTATGAAGATAGTCTTCATGGTGGAAGCTAGGCGATTGTTCATTTCTGAAGTGGACGACGAAGCGTGATACACAATGCCAAAAAAACATGTCCCACCAATTCTTAGGTGACGACAACACTATAGCACGTTGAGAATCAGAACATCCGGTTCCTTGATTAGATTATTATGCAGAGAATTGCCGTAATAGAGTAGTACGTTGCGTCCTCTATTCGGCCGATCGTTGCGCAGAACGGACATACCGGGTAGTAGGATTTCGATGTCTGTGCCTACTTCACTCCACCGTGCCTCTGTAGCCATGTTGAGGTCGCACAACATCATAGCATGATGTGGCCGAAGCTCTATCACTTTGCTGAAATGGCTTTGTAAGTTAGTATAAAAACAAGTAAGTCTCATATATGATATAAGGGTGCTGGTAGACGTCAAATTTGTGTTTGGTTTTAGCCGACTGGTCGTCGGTCTACCGCTACGCGTTTTTTGCATGGATCATTGATGTTTGACTTTAGACCAAGTTGTATGGTGGCACAGAGAGTTCCAGATCGTGATGTTCTCTCGTGGATCCATCTGTCCTGTAAGTTGTCGAGTGTTACTGGGTCTATCATAGTGCAAGACTGTGGTGGTAAAGGTTTAACTGAGGTTGCGATTTCCAACGAAGTACTGCCGACTCGTGGCCGTGTGTCTACTATCTTCAACCCAACCTCGGTTGGTAACCTAGAGCGATGCTTCAAACAGCTATCCAATAGGACTTCTATCATTCCTTAGAAGTTTAGTAAAAAGTTCAATCTTTTTGGACCGCATCCTTTGTTGTTTGGAGAGGAAAGTATTATCATCAATAATTTTTCGTTTACGTCTTCTAGGGAGCGTGCTTCATGAATGTAGCACAATTGCTTTTGGCCGTGTGTATTCACTTTGTAACCAGAAGAATCCGAAAGTTCAGGAAAACAATAAACAAATATGGTTTTCT